AGAGGTTTAACTTTAATAAGAGATGGTCTGTACCACACCAGTTTGCTCCACAGATCTTTCTCCTTCAGGAAATGCAAAGCTTGGCTCCTATATGGCAAGCAGACTGCCTTTGGCACTGTGCTGATTTAATGCTGTGGCCCTAAATATAAATAATTCCTGAAAAAGTAATCACTATAAGAAAGTATTAAAATAGATATCTAATGTGCAAAACTATAGATTTTTTAGATCTGCTCTGTTAGTGTAAGAAGACTACGTATGAATATTGATGCAGTTTTGTGTTTATTTGTAGGAACAATTGGATTTTTCGCTTGCTTTTGGTTTGTGACCAAGATATACAGTGTGGTAAAAGTTGACTGAAGATACTTAATGCAGAAACTATCAACCTAATTTAAATATGATTTTGGAAAAGAATGTAAGCTTTATCGAAATGATACAGATTTTCTCCCCTTCAAATATTTGTATTGTTATTTTGCAATCTGTTTTCACTTTGTATTCTTAGTGAAGACTGAATATAAATGTATGCATTTGTAAATATTGTTATATTGGGACTTTTAAATTCTAATGACTGGTTATAAGTGCTGCCTTGCAGGATTTAATAATTCTTCTGAAAGAATAGTTGTAAATAAAGTTTTCTAGGTTTGCTGAATGGGATTGATTATTTTTTCAAAGTAAAAAACTTATTTCTCTCATGCTTCTGAAGGTTGACTCAGTGTAATTGCTTGTAGTTTGAATGTTTTTGTTTCATAGGAAGCCATGGCCATAAATCCATCATTTTTTCCCCTCTGATTGTTTGGGTTCTAGTTGTGTTGGTTGTTGAGATTCTGTGGCCTCCTAAGTTCTGCAACCTAAACAATTCATAACAAATGAACTATGTTCAGTTGATTATTACCCATTATAAATAAATGCATAAAATTCTGTAAATAGAAATATATTCCTAAGTTCTAAATATGCAGATTGGGTTATGTTTTTTTGAGTAAATCATGTTACATAAGTGTAATATTCATGAACTACTTAAAAATGACATTTCATAACTATAGTGTCTCTCTTAATTCACTATATAACTAAATTAAGAGATTGGATAATATGATGAAAAAGTCTGCATAAACAGAAACAAGATGTATTACCAATTGTGTTCCCTGCAGATTTTAATGATACATATTATGCAGAACGGACTATGGATTTTTTTTAATAGCTAGAACTATTTGCTTTAATTAAAAGAATAAATTTGTTAGATGAATTAAAATTAGTGGAAACATGTTTACTGTGTTGTTGTCTGAGGTGAGCAATTTACCTGTTAACCTCTGCATGTTTTCTGGAAGAGCACACCTGTTGCCATGTAATTTGCATGTTTCAACAGATCACCCTAAGTTTTTTTTCTAGTATTTCTAAAGAGTATAAACTGATGTGTGAATATTAAAATCCAATAAAATATCTTTTGTTAATAACCTGAATTTTTAATTTGGTCCTGTAAACTTCCATTTACACTAATGTTTAATCCAGAACATTTTACACAGAATATTTAAAAAAAAATGCCAATATTCTTCAGACAGCCAATCTAATTATTTGCTAAATGGTTATTATTGCAGCTTTGGATTCTCTTTTAGTAAAATTATTTGTGTTGGTTTTTGCTGCTATAAAAGTGAGACAGCATCCTTGATTGAGAATGCTAGCATAAAGTATCTGACTTAAAGAGTCATATCCTTTAACATACTCAAATTTGTATGTCAGGTTTCCTTGGAGTCAGAGAATAATAAATGGAAGACTCCTCTGGCAGAACAAAATTTGACTACTTATTTTTTGTTCTTCTTTTGATTTTATTTATTTATTTATTTATTTATTTATTTATTTATTTATTTATTTATTTATTTTGCTTGCCCTCCCTCAAACTTATGGATCAGTGGGTATAGCAAAGGGAAATGCAGGAAACTACTATAGCTGGAGGGCCTTGAACAAGGGAGATCCTTTTATATTTATGTAGGACTTAAGATATTTATTTCATTTCTCAAGGCGGCTTCCAATAAAAATGCCATGTAGGAAAAAATAAAAGAAACATGCAAAGTATCTCTATCAAGCATGAAGTGCCTCCGTTTGAATTTGAAGTAGACTGTTGCAGCCCTGCTGAAAGCATGCAAATTTTGAAACAGGGATGATTTTGTATCTTAAAAAGCAGCAGTTCTCAACCAGGGGATATGGCTTCTTGTGTGCTCTGTGATATTTCAGGAGGGTAGAATATGAAACATGTAATGGGCATCTACCAAGAAGCCACAGAACAGTATATTGCATCACAAATACTATCTTGTTGATGCTAGATAATGCACCAATTACTATTCTATATCTGTATTTGGTAATGAAACCTGGACAGACAGGCTGCATAAGAAAAATAAGTTTGGAAGAGCAGCATGAGCAAAAAAACTAAAAAAACACTGTATTATGTCATTTGGCAAGGGAGATGAAAATGAAGGAAAATATTTGAAAACCTAAGGGAACTTGTTTCATTTTAAAGAATTTGTACTCTTTCAGATAAAAAAACCAAAATTATTTGATGAAAAAATGTACATGTATTCTTTCTATTTATCACCTTTGATAGGCATGTTAGAAATCTATTAAATTTATATAACTGCCCATCTCAATACCTGCCATTTGGGTCAGCTTACAAAATTAACACCAAAACAATAAAAAACAAACCAAAAAATAAGCACCATCAAAACAATAAGAACTATTTAAAAAAAAACATAAAACCCACAATCTGTAGACAATACCATTTCTTTCCTAACATACAATTTGCAGGCTCTCCACCAATGTCATCAGATCTCCAAGTAAGAGATAACAAGGCCACATCTTCAAGTGCTTCTACAAAGCCAACATGCTTACAAAAGGCAGGCACTGCAGCAAAAAAGGCTTCATGTGCTTGTTAGGAGCAGAGTATTAAATTCTGTGGCTCCCTACATCAGTGGTGGCGAACCTATGGCACGGGTGCCAGAGGTGGCACTCAGAGCCCTCTCTGTGAGCACCCGTGTTGTCGCCCAGTCCTAGGCCTTCAGCTGGGTTTTATAAAACCTTTTCGCTTTAGGCCTCTGCCACCATGTGCAAAAAAAAAAAAGTCAATTTCAACTTCTCACGGGAAAAAAAAGTTCTTGCAAAATGGGAATTGATTGATTGAACTTTTTAGTCCCACCCAGTCTGCTGTTACCACTGCAGCCACGCCCAGCCAATTAGCCACACCCAGCCAATGGGCCACACCCACCTGGCACTTGACAATGCATAAATGGGTTTTGGGTTGCAGTTTGGACACTCAGTCTCTAAAAGGTTCGCCATCACTGCCCTACATAGTAGGGACCGAGGGCAGGATCTCTCCCGATCAACACCAACTGGAACTAGTGACAAATCAATTTAAGACACTGCAGACCAAGAGTCTTGAAACGTGGCTGCTATGACTTGTGGACTTCCAACTCCCAGAATTCCTCAGCCAGGCACGCTGGCTGAGGAGTTCTGGGAGTTGAAGTCCACCAGTCATAAAAGGGCCAAGTTTGAAGACCCCTGCTGCAGACATTGTAAAGGATGTGGATTTGTTTAGCTATAAATTGTAATAGTATGTGGAAGTAACCTTGGGAGTCCTTGCTAAGGGAATAGTTAAGTGGCAGAATAGCTCAAAAGCAGATAGTGGGGCAGGATGCTCTCAGGCTGTAAAAGAAGGGAGAGAACTGAACTTCCAGACTTGCAAGATTCTGTCAATACAGCTTTATAATTAAGTATAATTAGTTGATCTGGTTGTTCCTTAACTGGGTTGCTCTGCAAGGCCAACATATATTCTCCATACAATTTAGTGGTATCTGCTTCTGAACCATCAAGTTTAGGAATAAAGTCCTTAAGTATCCTTTAGCCTACAAGAATGTCCTTCACTCAATACTCTAGCTAAAATTTAACAGATTTCATAATTACACTGCAATGTTGCAATAATGACTATGGAATAAGCCTGCTAACCTTTATGGCTACTTTGCACATTGGTAAATTGGGGCTAAATGCATTGGATGTAAACACCACTGTCTGGTCAGTGAACAGCTCCAGACACTGGAGTTAATTCAGTCAACCATATTTCACTAAATATGAGATGCGTTTCTGCAAATATAATCTGCGGGTTAAGGCATCAAACTGGAAACCGGGAGATCGTGAGTTCTAATCCCACGTTAGTATAAAGCCAGCTGGGTGACCTTGGGCCACTCACTCTCTCAGCCCTAGGAAAGAGACAGTGGCAAAGCACTTCTGAAAAAAAAACCTTGCCAAGAAAACTGCAGGGATTTGTCCCCACAGCCTCGAGAATGGGACACAAACTGGCGGAAAGAAAAGAAAGGACAATCCTTCCCTATCCAATAACAACAAAAGATTAAAAAGGAAATTATTTTATTTTCACACTTAACGTCATCGCCTCAGGCAGGCCCTCTGTAACTTTGCAAAAAAAAAAAAACCCCACAAAACCCCGACATTGTTAATTAGTATATTGATTAGTGATTATCAGAAACGGAGCTCCTTTTGATGTTTTCGCTCATTCTTTTATGCGCGGCAAGCCTTCGAATAAAAACATTTCAGCAAATACCCCCTTTTTTTACGCCTTTCGCTAATGCATTTTTCGCAAGTTACTATCGCGTGCGTTAAGTACTTAGGAGATAACCTGGGGCGTTGCCGTGCATCTTCATCACGGAATAAGCCATGGTTTCTATTAAAACTTGCCCGCAATTCCTATTCTCCCGTGTACTCTTCTGCAATGCACGCTGTTGCAAGTTTACTTAGAGCAAATAATTTCCCTTTCGTTTAGCAAGGCCGCGTCATTGGCAAGCAGGTTAGCATCTGGCCCGCAGCTGTTCCTCAGTTAGTTCTGGCTTGGAAGATTCACATGCACACCAGCTTCCGCGTCACGCTTCCTTCTTTAGTTCCTCGAAGGGGAGCGGCAAAGAAAAGGGGCGGGATCTTCCGCGCGTGCGTATCTCACAGGAGGCGGCAGAACTTCACCACCAATAGGAGAGAGCGAGGGCGAGGCGAAGGATGGGAATGATGGCGTCTGCGGGAATGGGACTACGGCGGCTCCTGGTGGCCGGTTCGAAAGTGAGCAGGAAGCGAGTGTGAGTGTCGCGATGGAGGGGATTGCGCGTGCGCTTTCTGAGAATGGTTCGGGAGATGGGGAGCTTTATCCCGGTTGATCCCCTTTCTGTTGCCACTTCTTAAAGCCGTCTGCAAGGCAGCTGATTCCTAATGTTGCGGAGCATGGAGCTGCTCGGGATAGTTTTGCTACCCCTTTAAATTGTGGCAGTGCCAACATCTTTAACCTGGGTGGACTTCAACTCCCAGAATTCCCCAGCCAGCATTGGAGTCGAAGTCTATCCAACCTAAAGATGCTGAGGCTGAAAAATCTGAACTGTAGTAAGCCGATCTTGACTGATTTTACCATACCTAAGCAGCATCCAGTCTGGTTTGTCTTTGGAGGGGAAACCCATCTGGAAGCCCGTGGCCTTACAGGTTAGATTGGGAAAAACAGAATCATCCTGGAAGAAGATAGTGGCGGATGACTTCCATACTGCTGCCAAGAAAACGGGATGGACAACAGTCCTTTCATGTTGTATATCCTTGAATCATCAAGGAACTGAGTTCAAGTAGTGAGACTTAATATCATTGTGTGGAGATTATTTAAGACTGTGAACTGGTCCCTTTAGTTTTCTTGGGATTTTTTTTTTAAATATTGTTTTTATTGTGCCTTGGAATCAGTGTTGACTCCTGGCAACTTCCTAAATAAGTCCTTGCAGTTTTTTGGCAAGGCTTTCTGGAAATGGTTTGTCATTGCCTCCTTCCTAGGGCTGGGAGAGATTGACTGGTCCAAAGTTACCCATTTTGCTTTGTGCCCAAAGTGGGACCTGATTTTTCCTAGTCTGGTACCATAACCACTTCACCAGTCTGGTTCTGCAGTTCTTGAGATTGTAGATCCCATAATCTTTCCACAACTTGATCTTAGCTTGAGGAAGGCGAGATGAAGAATGACAAGAGCTGTCAATGCTTACTTAGAAGTGAGGCCATGAATTCACAACTCCACACTGATACAGATCAGAGGAATAATAATAATAGTAATATAAGTACATGCCACCTGATTCCCAATAACTGGGCAGTTTACAATTGCTAAAAACATTTAAAAACAGCAGCTGGGCATAAATGGCAGGGAATTTGTTCTAGGGCAGTGTTTCTCAACCTTGACAATTTTAAGGCATGTGGACTTCAACTCCCAAAATTCCACAGCCAGCATTGCTGGCTGTGGAATTCTGGGAGTTGAAGTCCACATGCCTTAAAATTGTCAAAGTTGAGAAACACTGTTCTAGGGAATAGAGAAGCCGAGAGAACTGCATTGTTAGGCAGATCTTGCTAAAATCAAAGTGGCTTCCTTAGTGAGATAAGAGTTTCAACAAAGAAGTGGCATCTGCAGCCTTCTGTCCTTCCTGGTGTGTTAATGTGAGAAAGAAAGATTTTTTCCTCTATAAATGACTTTCATTTAAATTAAGGCACTCAATATCATATATCATGAGTTCTTAGCATGAGCGTGCTGGTTAGGGAATTCTGGAAGTTGAACTCCATACAGCTTAAAGTTGCCAAAGTTGAGAAACTCTGCAGTGAGGAATCCAGCTGCCTTGGAATCTGCTCTTGTTGAGCTGTTTTACACAAATTTGCTGATGTGACACCTGACTTCAGCCTTTTTGCAATGGAGACATTCTGCGTAGTATCTCTCAGGCTGGTGTTTGCAGTTGGAAATAAGCACTTTTGACAGACTTCATTTTATAATTTGTGTTATAGGTAAAAATAAATGGTGGGGACAAAAAAGATTTCAACTTTAGCCAAGTCTCTCTTTACCTTAATTAATAGACTGACCCTGAAAAAACTTTTTATATTGATCATGTCTACTGGTTGCTTTTTCTGAACACTAGATGGAGCTAAGGTAACGAAGGCTGAAATATATTATGACCAGTAAATCAGAATGAAAAAAAAAATTCTTGTCTTGCAACATTTTAGCAAACACAATTTTTAACAAATCTAAAATATAAATGACTAATAATATTGTATTTTTAAAAATGTTGCCAATTACCTTTTTAATATGTAAATTGATAATTTCTTGCTTTTTTGTTTTAATTGTAAACTTAATTGAAATATTTTATTCTAATTGGAAAAATGGAATCTTAATACGTTCACCAAAAGTTATTTAAGAGTAAAATGTTGTTTCTATAAGATTAGAAATTTTTACAGTTTTTATCACAGATGCTCTTATCCATACCTGTGTGAAATGTTTTTGAATGTTTTGCTTTTGTATTATTCATATACAAAACTTTTAATGCTTAAACTTTTAATTAAAACGCTTCTATTTGCTGGAAATGATAATGATACTTACTCCACAGTTGCTAATTGGATTTTGGCATCACCCAAACATTAACACAAACCAAATTTGGTCTTTAAAAAATTGGTTTTACAGAATCAACTTAATTGTCAGTTTCTTAAGTATCCTGCTTGTTAATGAATTGGGTTGGGACTGAATTAAACATAAAATCAGAAACTAGAATCGGTTTCTGCAATTTGCACTGAGTGCTAAAAGATATGTTGCTGATTGTTGGCTGTGACATAATATTGGAAAGTGGTTGGAGGGGGAATACAGTAAAATTATAAAATTATACTGTAAAATTTATGGGGTGGTATTCCAACTTCTGGCTTACCTGGACGAGGATGAGCGTGCTCTCCTGTGGCTTGCAGTGCTGGGTATGCTCATTTAAGTGTTACAAACAGAGCACTGTTAGCTCCCTCATAAAGTTCTGAGGATTTTTACAATGGATAATTTGATGGTTGAGGGTTGATGGAAAACTAGCTGTGTTTTAACACTAGAAAAATATTTTCTTATGTTGCGAAAAGCTTTCCTTGAGATTGAAGATAGTGACAGTTCTTTTGTTGTAAATTGAGAATTTATTTATTTATTTATTGTTATTTTTCTACACAACTCAAGACAGTGAACATATTTAATATTCTTTCCTCCTCCTATTTTCCCCACCACAACAACCCTGTGAGGTGAGCTTGGCTGAGTTGGCTTTCATGACTAAGATGGGACTAGACCGGGTAGGCAACCTTGGCTCTTCTATGGCTGGCTCAGGAATTCTGGGAGTTGAAGTCCACAAGTCATAAAAGAGCCAAGGTTCCCTTAACCACTAGACCCGTTACAGGTTTGGTTAAGGACTGCTCTTTTTGGCAACCATTCAACATTAAGACCATGCTGTAAAAATCGGTCCTCACATTTAAAACCTTCACAATATGCTGTGGTCACTTGATTGTCATTTGCAAGTTTCATTTGCAAGCTGACTTCTGAAAAAGAAAAGTCAATGGAAAACATGATATCTCGTTTAATGACCATACCAGAACTGATGTGAGTCCAGTACAGTTACATGTTTTGTGTAATGACTCTGTTGTTTAGTGACAGGTTTGCCAATCTCAATTGTGGTCATTAAGTGAGGACTACCTATATTCTGATAAGCAGGGAATCTGCTTTTTAAATGATTCTCATTAAGTCTGATTCTGGAATTTATTCTCTGAATAATTCCTATAATGGTTGATGGGGGAGGTTAGTTAGAAACAAGTGATGAAGCATGGTTATGACATCATGGAGGGAAACCTGTGCTTTGTGTCTGATGCTGGGATGAAAATACATAAGCAGACACGACATCTGTATCCCCAGGCCACTGGTTTGATATAATCAAAGTTTGCAGCAGATGGTTTGACTGGGGTGGGTAGGAGGTAAGTCTGACCATTCCTCTCTCTCCCCTGGCCCCTCCCCCCATTAACTTTCTCCAATCTGGTGCTCTTCAGTTGAGACTAGTACATTATAGTTCTCATCATTTTCAGTACTAAAAAAATGGTTATTTGGCAAATTCTACTGTTGAATCGCTGTCTCTCTCCTCCTAAGAAGCAGGATAATGGAGTTAAGGGAAGCTTTTGTTGTACAAAAATAGGATACCGCATAGCTGTATCTATGCGATTTATTTTCATGATCCTGGGAGGACTTTTTTAGGTTTTTATTTCTGCTTTCTTTTTTATATGAACGGGTTGTTATACAGATAAGTGTCTTGCTTCTTGGTAAAATGACTGGTCACTCTGAAGTCTCTTACACAATAAAAAAACAAGTGAAGAAACTTGGGACAGGCTAATCCTGCTTTATAAAATATAGGATACCAATTGTAGTTAAACATTTAAGAGAGACATTTTATCCTGAGCTTTCAGGTGACCTAATTTCCCCTGATACTGTACATTTAGTTTTTTACATCTGCACCTAATTTGTAAAACAGACTTAATGAGAAACTTCAAATAGTTTAAACATCAATTGCAATGATGGCAAGGTTTTAGAGGTCCAGTAATCTGTCCATGTTGGTCACTGAAACATGATCCCAGCTGGATATAATTAAGGACAGATGTCATTCCAAGACTTGAAAATGAGGGCTTTATGGTTGATGCTAGCAATCTACTAGTCTGGTTGTTCTTACTCTTCATTTGCTGTGCAAGAGTACAGTTATTAATTTCACTTAATGTGGATATAGTTTTAAAACAACAATACATCCGCATCTTCTCGGAAAGATTTATAAAAGGTTTAGTATCGTTATTAATTCCCATTATTCACAGTGAATGTAAAAACATGAGTTTATGGATTGTTGGAATGTCAAATAAAGTTACTGGGTACAGTACAGTGGTCCTCACCAGTGGTGGATTCAAATATGTGAACAACCAGTTCTCTGTGTGGATGCTGCTTCCGAAAGTCCGTTCTGGGCCTGGACAGCAAAAAAATTAGCTACTGGTTCTGCTGAAGTGGTGCGAACTGGCTGAATCCCACCACTGTTCCTTACCAGATATCAGTTCAAACTGGCATTCTTCAGGTTACTCAGCTGTTACCCAGAGTTCTGGGAAGAAAATGCTCAAGTGGCACATATATCCTCTTTTAAGTACATTTTGTGTGCATTTATGACCCCTTTGTGCTTCTTCTTTTCAGCAGCTGCTAATTTTTGAATCTGCTATTTCCTGAATATTGTACTCTGTTTTGATATGAAAATGTGAGGTCTGT